ATCTTTGTGATAGCCTTAAAATATATTTTTATCTCTTATTATAAAATTTAAAGCTTCAAAAATAGTGCCGACCAGACAAATCTACGAGAACTTGAAAATTTTGAAAATTGAAGGTCCAAAAATACATTACAATATGCACTATTTTCAAAACAGGAAATCTATTTTTTCTCATATCCATGCATCTTGATGTTGAGATGATCAATTTGAGGATATTTGGCAAACAAAATAACCTCTTCTAATAAAATTTTTGAGGTAGGCTTTAATTTGATTGTTTAGAGCTTCAACTCTATATAAACCTTTCTCATATATATTTTGATGATCCAACTGTGTAAATTCATTTGAACTGAACATATTTTCAATGTTACGCCAATTTATATAAGGAAAAGTTTCATGAGGCAGGGATCACTTTATTACAATTGGGGTCCCCGAGGCATAAACCATCCATGTTAAAGATCAAGGTACATAGGTGGTCCATCTAAAAAATTGAAATTCATGATCCAAATATTTTTTTGATAGAATTTTTATTTTTAATCTTCCAAATTTATTTGTTTTTTCATATTCATGATCTCCATATTAGAGATTACGTGTCCTTAAAAATTAGGTCAAAAAATCCATCTCAAAACAAAATTTTTAAGAGGTGACTTTATTTCTACATGAACTCATAAAAACAAGAGAAAATTACAAAACACCCTAAGATGAACTATAAATGCAACTTACCCCACGCAAAGTTTTTCCCACACTTTTTTCTCCCAAACAACCTTTCCTCACAAAAACCCCCCAAGATAAAAAGTTCTAAATTTTTGGATGGAAATGCCCTTCCCATACAAACTAAATGAATTATTGATCCCAAATAGAGTAGTGTCGAAGAGCAGTATACTACTGCCGGAGTGGAATGTCAAGAAGCACTGTTGGAGCGCGGTGCTACATTGCCGAAGCGAACTGCCGAAGTGTGTATTTTCAATACCGGAGCGCATTCTCAGATTGCCGGAGCCGACTGCCAGAGAGTGCAATATCACTGCCGGAGCGATGCGGTTAGACAAAGCACTGCCGGAGCGCACATTGTGATTGTCGAAGCACGCATTAGGACTACCGAAGTGCAGTCCTCCATTGCCGGAGCCCAAGGCCGTGTGAAAAGAAACGAGGGTATTTTTGTTTTATTTTATGTTACTTTTGGGCTGGGGTGATTTTTGCGAGAAATGGTTCTTTGAGGGAAAAAAATCTGAAAAAACATTGGGGTGGGATAAGTTGGGTAGATGGTCCATTTTGAGGTGTATTTTGTAGTTAGAAACAATGTCCTTTATTTAAATCCATTGTTAATTTGAGCCACAACTTGTGTCTTCAATAAACTTTCATATTCCGTAAGATGAACAAATGGTTCATTTTTACACAATTATCCCTAAAAGAAAACCAATAAAAAATAACAAAAGAAGTCATAAACATAAAAGAAACTACAAACAAATACTGTTTGCACTGATCGTTGGGGTCAATTCTCAAAAAATCACTTTTATTTCATCGCACCATCAGAATTATCTTCTCTTGGCGGTTTTCCAGCTGATTCTGATAGAAAACCGGCAGGGTGAACCTTCTTCCCTAGTCGGAAAATTCCATGGCTTTGCTTCCCTTTAATGGAACGTTCACCTTTGCTGCTGTCCTCTGCTTCCATCTTCTTGAGCTTCTCTGCATACAACTTCCTCATCACATATGCTTCAGCTAGACCGCCTGAAATAGAAGCCATGGCTGAAAATTCACTAGAAAATGGTTAAAAAATATGCAAAAATAAAGAAATTTGGGGTCCTATACAAGGTTTGTTTAAGAATTGTTGAGAGGGGGGAGGAGAGATTCAGAAATAGTGAACTTTGAGGAACAGGGTTTGTTTGTGTGAGAATTGCTGAGGGGAGGGGAATTTATAGGAATGTAGTTGACTTGGTGAGCACGCTTTAATTTTACTGTTGCATGTGTCACACATGACGCCTTTTTTGACAAAGGAATGAGTTTTCAAATGCCTTCATGCTTGGGACCATGAATAACTGTTTAGGGGGGGGGAATTTATAGGAATGTAGTTGACTTGACGAGCACGTTTCAAGTTTATTGTTACAGTTAAAATAAAAATAAAAATAGTGTTGAATGTGTCATTCATGACGCCTTTTTTGTAAAAGCAATGAGTTTCATATGCCTTGGGACCATGACATATATTGCTTTTTTTTTCTTGGTAATGAATGTAGGATCACTTTTGGCTCGAGGGTTAGAGTTGCCTATGGCTCATAGCTTTTTATTTTTAATTTTTATTCTATAAATCGTTTTAAATCAAAATTTGGGGCATATATAAATCTGGTAAGGGTGCACATGATAAAAATAAAATAAAATTTGGTGATAAAAATGTACCTGAATATCTCTGAAAATTATAGGAGCATTTTGATCATTTATTTATTTATTTAAATTTTTTTCCAAGCTTGCCCTAATTTTGTGAGGGGACGGCAAAAAAAAATAAAAAAATAAAACAATATTTGACATGACATTGTGGTGTAAACAATTATAACCGTTCGATTCAAATCGAACTACTAAATAATGGACCACATATAACTTATACGTTGTTCGGATCGCATAGAAAGTTCACCCTTTGAAATAATGGTACACGACACTCTTGAACCTCAAAAAAAAAAAATAATGGTACACGACACTTATAAGAGAGATGATAGGAAGGTACGGAGGTTTGAAAGAGTTGGAAGTAAATGAAATTGGGAAAGTTGGAAGTATTGGGGAACTTATTTATTAGGCAAGAGCAGAGCAGGTGATTTTCATCTACACTATTTTTTAAGCTTTAAATTGTATAAATATACAAATATATTTTAAAGCTATCTTAAAGATTTTCAGTATTAAAATCATATTTTTTGACACTACTTGAATGTGCATTTTACTTTGATTGTTTAAAGCCGGCTCTATACAAACTGCACCCTTTTCTAAAATACACCCAGTTTGAACTAACATCTTAGATCATGAACCGACCAGATATTGAAGATCCAAAGTCAAGACTTTTAAAACTTGAGTTCGGAATCATGAACGTCTTAAGTTAAAGATTTTGTTACCACTTCAAGACTTTTAACATGAATTGAGATCTTGAACAATCCGAGGTCAAGAATTCCACTTCCCATTTTGAATGCTTCGGACCTTTAAAGTCCGAAATCAAAGTAATTTGGAAAAAAAAAAAATGAAAAAATAAAAAGGAAGAAAATATGATTATGAACTTGAGACCGTTGCAGGACTGCGTGCATGACCATATCTTCAGAGAGATAATAAGCGAAAATTATGGCCATTTGATCTTTCCCCATTTTTTCCCGTTATTACTTTTTGTTTTCTGTTTATTTTCCTTTTCAACTCCACTATTTGCTTTTCCTTTTTTAGGTGAAACATTGAGGTCTCCCACTATATTAGCCATCTGTTACATAACTGGAAGGGATCAGCCCACCATTTTATGAACCTTGATGCATTCAATTATCTTGACGATATGGGTACGATATTTATAGGGTTGGCAATGGACCCGGACCCGACTTCCGGACCCTACCCACGTCCGAGTATGGGTTCAAGAATTGGACCCGGCGGGTCTGGTCGTGGTCCAAATATTGGACCCAAACATTATTTTCAGGTCCGGGTCCATGTGGACCCAACCTGAATAGTGTTTTTATATAAATAAATATTTTAATATATAATATTTAATTAATATTTAAATAAATATAATTATATAATTTTAGTTATAATATTTAAATAATGGGCACGGTTTGTATAGAGCCTAGGCTCTAAATAATCAAATTGCAGCCTACCTTGAAATAGTATCGAGAAATGTGGTTTCAATACTGAAAATCTTTTTGATAGCTTTAAAATATATTTTCATCTTTGTTTATAAAGTTTAAAGCTTAAAAAATAGTGTAGATCGAGAGACCTATGAAAACTTGAAAATCTTGAAACTTGACGATTCCAAAATACATTATTTCCAAAACTTAAAATCTGTTTTTTCTCATGCCCATGCATCTTGATGTTGAGATAATCAATTTGAGGATATTTGGGCATCAAAGCAACCTCTTCTAGTAAAATTTTTGAAGTAGGCTCTAATTTGATTGTTTAGAGCCTCGGCTCTATATAAACTTTTCCCTTAAATAATATATGTATATATATTTAACATAACTTAAAAATGTTTAAATATACTTTTTTTAGTTTTGGGTCGGGTCTAACTGGTGTTCCTAGATATTTTCTTCTACACTAATAGGTTTTCCGCTCAAAGGAGTAAATGTACAGTATGCCCCACAGAACACACTCAATACGCACCATTTTCCTTTTTTTTTGCCCAGGAAAAGTGATAAGACACGCCAGGACTCGAAAATTGGGATCGTTAGGCTGCTTCTCCGTTGGGAAATTCTTTTCGCGAGAAATTAACAACTAATTTTGAACAGTATGCTACACGTATCGCCAACTGTACCTTTATAGAAGAAAAAACCGTTGGGGTGAAGTAATAAACTGTTATCCATAGAAGCAAGGGAGAAATTATTCCCAACACTCAGAAATTGAAGATGGATCATATGGTCGATAAACATTTAGCATATTGTTTATGTGCTGCATGCATCGTAACATCATTTTGATGCTCGAACTGTGTAAATTAATTTGACATATCATATTTTCAATGTTACATAAAGCATGGCCAATTTATTTTAGGAAAATTGTTTCAGTGCGGCAGGACCGCATTTCTATATTTACGGATCCCGAGGTATTTGGCATCTATCTTAAAGATGGAGGCAAATAGGTGATTTATCTAAAAAAAATTCAAACTAACGGTCCGAATGTTTTTTTAATAAAATTATTATTTTTAATTTTTAAAATTTATTTATTTTTTCATATTCATGATCTCCATGTTAGAGATTACATGTCCTCAAAACTTAGGTCAAAAAATCCATCTCAAAAATAGATTTTTAAGAGGTGGCTCATTTCTACGTGGACTCATAGAAGCCGTATACTTTATTTAAATGTTTGTTAATTTGAGCGACATAAATATGATACAGAATCACAACTTATGTCTTCAATAAACTTTCATATTCCATAAGATAAACAAATGGTCCATTTTTACACAATTGTCGCTTAAAGAAAACCTATAAAAAGAAGAAAAAAAAGATTCATAAACATAAAAGAAAATACAAAAAAATATTGTTTGCGCTTATCGTTGCGGTTCATTCTCAAAAAATCACTTTGATTTCATCTCACCATCAGAATTATCTTCTCTTGGCGGTTTTCCTACTGACTCTGATAAAAAACAGGCAGGGTGAACCTTCTTCCCTAGTCCAAAAATGCCATGACTTTGCTTCCCTTTAATGGAACCTTCATCTTTGCTCTTGTCCTCAGCTTCCATCTTCTTGAGCTTCTCTGCATACATCTTCCTCATCACATATGCTTCAGCTAGACTGCCTGAAATAGAAGCCATGGCTGAAAATTCACTAGAAAATGGCCTATAAAGATGCAAAAACAGAGAAATTTGGGGTCCTATAAAAGGTTTCTTTAAGAATCTTCAGAGGGGAGAGGAAAAGATGCAGAAATAGAGAGCTTTGGGGTCCTGCACAAGGTTTGTTTGTGTGAGAATTGTTGAGTGGGGAGGGGAATTTGTATGAATGAATGTAGTGACTTGGTGAGCACGTTCAATTTTAGTGTCCAATGTGTCATACATGACGCCTTCTTTCAGAAAGTAACGCGTTTTAAAATACCTTCATGCTTGGGAAAATGACATTTATTGCTTTTTTTTATTGGTAATGAATGTATGGGACTTTAGGATTGGACCACTTTTGGCTTGGGGGGTTAGGGTTTATTCATTGAGAACAAAGAAAAATAAATAAATCTATGGGCCTCATTATACCTATTGGAAATGTTCTCGTTGAAAAAAAATCTCTATGTAGGAAAATCATCTAACCAACCCAGTACTTTAAAATTTGGAATAGAGGGTCGAATCAGTCACCCATTAATTTTGAGTCGAACTGACTCGATTAATGACTTGGCTTGGTAGACCAAACCAACTTACTAGAAAAAAAAAAAAAAGAAAAAAAAAAAAGAAGAGGGAGGAAGGAAGCACAAGAAATTGTAAACAAAATATACATAGTTAGTTTAGTATATTTAAATAAACTTTAGGAACCAATAAATCATTCCAAAAAAAAAAAAAGGTTTACAATAAAAGGAGAGTCAAGAATTCCTAATACAATTTTTTAGCCCATTTGGCCGAGTCCCGAGTTTGGGTCAAATCCAAACCCTTGGCTACTTGTGGGTTCCAGTTCAACTCAATCGATTCCAAGAGTCAAACCCAAAAATTTTTGAGACACGAATCCAATTATAGGTTGGATTCAAGGTATTAAATAGCAAAGTACTATATGAGAGGCAGACATGATCCAAATATTTTCGACGATACCTAGGTAGGTTGTTATCCTACTTGATCATTCACTTTACTTAAATTTTTAGGTAAGGAAAAATTATGGATACCTTTTGGAATGTATTTTATAGGCATTCAGCTCTCTAAATACTTTTCATATCACACCCTTAATCCAATTACTGTTTTCTTTTGCTTTACCTCCCTCCCCACTCTACAGGATTAAAAGGTCAATATATTAAAGATTAAACTACCATTTCAAGAGTTGGATGTTTACGAAATGCATTCCAGGTAGTATGTATAATTTTCCCTTTACATAACAAGTAACTGTAGTGCCATTGCAAAGAGAAATCAAAATTTCAAAACCTGCAATCATTTCATCCTTTTTACCTGGGATCTAAGAGTGCCGGTTTCAACCAATAAACAAGGAAAATAACGATGACTTATATGTGAGCAATAGAGTGCGACATGCACACAAGTAGGCACGGAATGTCAAAAGGGCCTAAATCCACCTTTATTAGCTATAAACAGGTGCTCTTGTACTTCCCCGTCTCAAGGGCTTGAACGATAGTATTATATAGCCTTTTAGTATGCACATACATGCTCACCCTTCATTTACATGGCCACGCTATAGTTGCTTTTGGGTAACATGTTTATATAAACCCTATTATGCACTTATTAATTACATGACTTAAGACCTAAACCAACATTACTGCCTACCACAAGGTGTGAAAGTTAAAAGCCTATGCCTTGCCATCAATTTGGCCCCAGTCATGGCTCAATGTGGGAGTCTAATGGTCTAGCGAACCGACTCCATGGATCAATGAGCCCATATGTGCAAATTAAATCATACATGGCCCATTAATATATACTCACTAATGTGCATTTACCTTATCTCACATGACAATTTCGTCATTACACAAGCTCATGTCTAGGCCAATATACCTACTATCATGGCCCGCTGGCTGCTTGTATTTTGGCTACGGGGGAGACTAGCGAGCCTCCCCTGGCGCCTCAGCCAGCCTGCCTTGGACTGAGCTTGCTCCCTGTATTTGCCAAAGGCTATGCCTTGAAGGCTCCAAGCACCTACGTCCAGGCTCTGGACACGCCTCAGGGTCGAGAAATTTAACACAACTCCCATACTTGAGGGAAGTATGGGAGCTTTGGGTCACTGATGGCCAGCGGTGGACAAGGCTCCCTCGAGGTGCACAATCACCTGTAGAGGACGTACAAAGGGATGAGAGGGTGTCTGAGAGCTGGCAAGCACCCGGCTTGAACTTAGACCCACCTTGGGGGCTAATGTCGCAGGACAGCCTTAAAGGAATGCTAAAGACCCGGCAACGTGGAGCTCACGGTGAAACGGCTAGTCGACATGGCATAATGCCCCTGATGTGAAGCCAGGTAATCAGGCATACAAAAGGGAACATTTAGACAGCATGGTATAACGCCCAGAGACAAGACCAGGACGACCTAGCGTAATGCCCCAGGCCGGGCAGCCAGGCACATGACCAAGACAACCTGGCATAATGCCCAATAGGAAGCAAGGCAGTTCGGTGCAAGATCAGGACGACCTAGCATAACGTCCCCCCCAGGCAGCCAGACGCACGACCAGGATGACTCGTCATAATGCCCCGCCGGGCAGTCAAGCGTACGATCAGGATGACCCATCATAACGCCACGCCATGCCAGACAGCCAAGGGCACCGGAATGACCTGTCATAACGCTTCAGCGTAACTGCTCAGGACATGGGCAACTGGTTGCCTACCAGCTGCCCATGACCCAGTCCAGATGGGTGCATGAGCACCACGTGGCTTAGGTTTGAAATGTAAAATAGGGCTATATAAACGCCAAGCCCATACCCTTAAGGGGGTACCTGTGGCAGTATATATAAAACAAGCGTAAAGCTTTAATAAAAGGGTGTGGTTTGTATTGAGCCGAAGCTCTAAACAATCAAATTTGAGCCCACTTCCAAATAGTATTGAGAAATATGGTTTCAATGTTGGAAAGTTTTGTGATAGTCTTAAATTATATTTGCATCTTTAGTTATAAAATTTAAAGCTTAAAAAATAATGTAGATCGATTAGATCTATGAAAAATTGAAAATCTTAAAATTAACGGTAAAAAAATACGTTACAAGATGAACTATTTTCAAAGCTTGAAATTCATTTTTTTCTCATGTCCATGCATCTTGGTGTTGAGATCATCAATTTGATTATATTCGGGCATCAAAATAACCTCTTGTAGTGAATGTTTTGAAGTAGGCTCTAATTTGATTGTTTAGAGCCTAGGCTCTATATAAACTTTTCCCTTAATAAAAACAGGTTGAGGCCCTTGATCCAAACTTGAGTGTGTGCTGGCGTGTGTACTTGTGAGTGCCCCTAGTCCTTAAATCAGTGTGAAGTGGTAGGCCGAACTTGACTTGTAAAACTCAGGCTAAGGGTCAAGGCGGCACGGTGCTAAAAAAAAAAAAAAAGACCCGTGACACCTACCCAGGTGCCTGGTCAGCCACATCTTACATACCCATATCACGTGAGGCTATGTTACTGTGAGTGAACCACCCAAGCCTCAGCATCCTTATCAATTTGCACATACCATCTTGCCCTAGGTCTTGTACCAGGGATCTTTGATGCTATCCCACATGTGAATGCACAGGCATGACCGGCCTACATGGATCAGGCTAATCTAGATAAAGAAAACCTTGCTTCCATAATCAACATAAATGAAAATTTGGGTGATCCAAGTTTTTTTTGGCCATATTCAAGTGCAAGATATGGTTGGTAGGTTCTCAATTCCTTGGTGGAATTTTAGATAAGTCCTGCTGTCACAACCGATAGAGACTAAAGCATCAACCACTCCATTTGTTGGGATGCCCCATTGTGAGCTATCTGTGGCATGCAACTGGCTTTTTGGTGAATCAGCCTCTTCATTTTCCATGGCAATTGACTATCGACCAGACAACTAAGTTGTAAGTGCACAAGCAGAATTGCTTCTTGATCCCTAATTCATGAACAATTGTTAGAATTTTTTGAATGTTGTTAGGTGGCTAGGATACAAGTGTTGGGCACTTGTCAAATCATCTTTTAGTGGTACACATTCTCTCGCGGGTGCCGGGCCGCCGCTTTGCAATATTTGCTAAACCTGCACCTAAACGTCTCATAGGAGGAAAGAGGTTGGGTCGTGATTGTAGTACCCCCATACCTAATTATTACGTTGAGGTTTCTAGTCCTGTTAAGACTACCCACTGACACCTTCAAAGAAAAGCTAACTCCTTAATTTATACGAAAAAACGAGTAGGGACTGTCTTTCCCATTGAATTACCTTAAAAAAAAAAAAAAAAAAAAAAAAAAAAGTACATATAGAAAAATATATAGTTTTCTTACTAAAAACCCTAATAATGGTTGACAAATTTATTTTTATCTTTTGTATAGATTAGTGGATATGTGAACACTTGAAATAAACAGTCCTGAAAATATATTACAAAAAAAATCCATTTAAAGACCTTGAAATCTTTTTCTTTCTGATCCATAATCCTTAAGGTTGAGATTATCAATTGCCATATTTTTCAGAACAGAGGCCGTATAACTTTATAAAGCTGTTGCCCCATTCTATTTTGTCAAAGAAAGGAAGGGGAAGTTCACCATAGATGTCTTGCTGTGCACATTCTATTTTGTCAAAGAATGGGGAAGTTCACTATATTTATAAAGCTGCCTCCCCATTCTATTTTGTCAAAGAAAGGGGAAGTTCACTATATTTATAAAGCTGCCTCCCCATTCTATTTTGTCAAAGAAAGGGAAAGTTCACTATAGATGTCTTGTTGTGTATGGTATATGATGCGTATGTTCCACTCTTATGTTCCCCATTACTACTTATCTCCACCATTGATGGTGATGGCATGTCCCTGTGGAATAAAACTACACATGTGCATGTTTAGGTTCCGGGCTCTTCAAGAAATGCACCTACTAATGAATTCAAATGCCCCATTGTTTTTAGTGAAAAGTTGCGTAATTATATAACCTCATACTATAGCTTTCTAAGACGTATTGTTTCAAAAGCTGGTTATCTGGATTTGGGAGTCCGTTAAAACAAACCGGTTTTAGAGTATTGGCGGGTCTTCCAATTTTTTTTTTAGTTTAGTTAATGGTTTTTTAGGTTCTATTGAATCTCCATAAATCCCTTTATTAATTAATTATTTACTTTTTTAACATCCCTTCTTGGGTCATCGTTCAAACCAATGGTTTAAAAAACGGATCGGTGACCCGGATCGGGCTTCCAAAAAATCGATCGGGATCGACGAATCGGCGATCCGGATCGGGAATCGGGTGAATCGGTCAGAATAAAGCTTAAAAAAAAATTCGAAAAAATTATTAAAATTCATTATAAATATTTTTTTTTAGGAATTCAATAAAAAATGAGGGTACTCCATTAAGAATTTTCATGTTTTTGAATGAATATGCGAATATTGATATGGTCTTTCCCTGCATGAACCGCCATTCAGCA